GGGTCAGTATTTCATTGTTACTGATGACTGAGGTGTTTCCAAACTGTGAAAAGTACACACATATCACTGAGAGGGGGAATACCCCAATTTGTGATGACCAGTAAAAATGGGACAGCCTTCTACAGTTTAACCCAAGCACTGCTGGGACAGGTGACAAACTACAGCCTGTGTATGTGTGTTTGTACATCTAATGTGTAGGTGAGCAGCACAAAGGTGACTTTACCTGAACTGGAGCTCCCTGTTGCTTTCTGCTTTATGTTCTGCCGAGATTCTTTCATCCAAGGGAAAATATGCTTTGACATGGTAGGTGAAGTGATGTTTGTGGCCTTGGTGGTGGAAGTTGTGGCTGCATTACTGGCATTTTGAGGTGGGGACACAGAGGGTGGTGTGGGCTGCTGTTGATCTGAGATGACCGGGGCTTGGTTTGATTGACTGTTAACAGCTCTCATACAACTTTCGTTGATGTCATTGGCCTTGTGATGTGGCACTGTACCGCCAGGTGACTGCAGCGAGCAGGCAGGTCGATGATATTCACTTTCCACCAGTGATGAGGAAGGGGGATATTGCTGCTGACTTGCATTATAAGTGAAACCATTTGCTCCTTGGTAGGGGTATCCACCATAGATCGCAGAGCTGTCGTAGTAGGTCGCTTTTTGCATTTCGTTGTTTCCCAATATTTATTTCACAAACTGACAGGGTCTTGACACCCGTAAAGAATAACATTGGCACCCCTCTGTCACGTGGCGCTGCTCGTCCAATGGCCTCCCTGGTCAGACCTGTGGTGGAGAAGGAGCACAGTGAAGTGAAGAAATGGGAGAGATCCATCTTACTTACAATAGCTAAGTGACATGAAAGCCATAAAGGAAAAAGTGTTCAGCAATATTGAGAAGTGTGTATTAAGATGATAGGGCTTCTCACTAACGTCCAAGTAATTCGCATTTGCCCAGAAATTACAGTTAAATGCAATCTGAATAACTACATCACAGCCTGGACTGTTCACACACATCTCACCTCGCCACCCACCATCAACAAATATAAACAAGTGCATACATGAAACTTCTGGCCTCTTGTCACTCACATGTGTACACACAGAGGTAGGTAGTAGGTGCACAGAATATATATTTGCACATATGGCGGAACTACAAATGTGTGTGCACCCACAAGCTGATATATGTATATAACACACACACACACACACACACTGATTTACTAAAGGAGTTAAGCATGGTCGCAATACATTCTGTGAATTTTAACTTCAATTAACCCATCATGAGCAAATACATTGTTGTTTACTTCTTTTATTTGCACATTATTGGATAATTGAAGCGAATATTCAAACAATTCATTGTGTGCACATTCTCAACTCCTTTAGTAAATAAGCCTCAGCCTATGTTTCTTCCTACTTTCTTTAAAATACACACAGTCATTATTGTTCCTATTACACACATACATGCATATTTGTTTTAAAAATAAAGGAAAAGGGGATGATGATCTTGCAAATGCATAATAAACACAATTTGTGTGAGTCTATGTAAACCATAAATATATTGACATATGTTGAGCAGCATTTATGTGTATATTTACATGTGGTACTTGAATATGCATACAAACAATAATACACACACCTAGGTTTTGTGTTTTTTTAAAGAGAACTATTTTGATTTCTTTTTTTCTTTTCCCTAGCTTCATACATTACACCAAATTACTTGAACACCTACTGTTCAGCTGTGGCTGTAATATTCACCCCTTAAATTAATTGTAATCACAAATATATACACGTTTAACCCATGTCCATAGCAAGCCGGTGCACACAAAACACACACAAAGTTTAAGCCTCCAAATTACACCCAGCCTCACAGATCTGATAAACATCATGTAAAAACGATAACCTCAGCTCCCGGTGCTTATTGTAAATTACAGGTTATTGTGCATTCAGAGCAAACTATTGACTCAGTAAACAATCGTTTATCAACTGTTAGATACAGCTTTCCAAACACAGGCCTACAGAACACAATTCTACTGTCATCCTCATGAAGGTAATGAAAAGCCTGCATCCACCTTACTGGATTGTATTTACTGGTGCTTAGTAATAAAGCATATGGACTTTTTAAATTAAAGCATGCATACATGTATGTAACCTACATACATGTCAGAATAATGTGTATGTTTGCCAGCAAGCTCTCCTCCTGCCTTATGTTAAACTTTCAGCATTGCCACTAGTTAGGAAAAAATTGTTACTTTTTATACGAATGTAGCGTTGCAGGATTTTATTTTTATTATAAATAATAACGCAAAGTAGCAGAATGATACAGTCAGGACTATTCCAAGGCCAAATCTATTTACTATGTAACCCTCCGAGGCTCCTTAATATGCCGAACTCCACATATGGTGGATACATGAAACAAAATACAATGCTCAATAGATTCATAAGTATCTTTAAAAAGTCAGATGCCTTGTAATGTGATTTGTCGTCGTGATATGTACACAATTCTAACTGTTAAAACATGATGGATCTGAGAAAACACCGGGAACCAGAAAGACCAGCAGCGTTCATCTCCATGACCACGGCATGAACTTTGTGTGCAGCCCCTAACGATAATAGGCACTGTCTTTGCAACTGCTCTGTAATTTGATGTATGGGGGTCATTTGGCTAGCGAGAGAGTAGATGATGGAAACACAAGCCATAAAATACTTCTAGGTTCCTGTCTATCTTTTGTTAAATCTTCATGTTTACCTATCTCCAAATAACTATTCAAACTTTAGCCACAAGACAAAAGCAAAGCATTCAAAACGCCTCCAAAGCAAACTGCAAGAACATTTGGAAATTTAAATGAAAGCACTGCACCTTTTCTTTTCAAATGCAACACAGCTCCAAAGTTAACTATTCCTCCCACAAATAGTATTTCCAAAAAATATATAATAACTGAAGTATAAAAACGATGAGCTGGAAAGCCAAATGTCAGTCGGCCTTTATTAACCCATTCCTTTCTAAGAAGACCTTGGAAAAATGCTATTCACCCGACATGCCCCCTGAGCCAGAAACATAACATGGTTTAGAGAGTCACCAGACGTTATTCATTTCAAATTAAGCCCAAGTTAAATTTGAAGTTCAGTTCCTCAAACTGATGGAATTAAACGGAGTATTAAATAAAATATAGACCTTCAAAAAATTAAAGTATTTTATTGAAAACAAAATAATAAACAGCATACACAGCCACCGCCTGCTTTACTGTGGTAAGTGTAACCGATTTTGCAAAGTAGTTATTTACTGTGTCCTAGAGAAAAGAAGGGGGGAAATATTTGGAGGTGAAGATTAAAACAAAAATGAGTAATCTCCTAGATTCAATGGGCAGATAGCAGAGAAACTGTGTGGAGACGAGAAAACAGCCTGTATTAGCAAACTATACGTATCAGTCATTTCTTGAAAGGAAGCTTCAGCCTGTGAACTCTTCTTGAACCGAGATTTAAGACTATGGTCATAAATCACTGGGACATAAACTCCAACCATTCAGAAGTGATAGAGGATTTCTGGCCGTCTTACCTTGGATTCTGACGACTGACGCGGAACACAACAGACTGTCCTCCAGTTCGGCTTCAGAACCAGCAGATCTGGGTCCCCCCACCCTGACTAATTCCTAGGCATAATGAAGGGGGCAAGGACAGCACCACTGCAGCTCTATCACCTACCAGCAACCAGGCACAACACGACCTCAGGATGAGAACAGCGCTCAGGAAATCTGAACAAGAAATGTCTGCCAAAAAAACTGGACAACCCCTAAGGTTACATATGGGCGACCCCGGTCACCAAGATAAGAGCTATCAACTCTCAGGGCTTTCCAAGTGTAGTTCCACAGACACAAAAATGGTATGTTTCTCCTTACAAATATTGCGTGCTGAATGATTCTAGATTCCAAGGAGAATATTCATCTGGGAACTGGGATGTGTGGGGGGAGAGGGGGAAAAAAGAGAAAGACATTTAGGGAGATGGGGTAGACATGGAAAGAAAAATAAAATAACATGAAAAAATTGTGGGAGGAGGATCTAGGACCCTGTGAAAGTAGGCGTTACTGGGGTTCTGGAAAATTATGCAAATGAACACAGCCTGCGACTTAAAGGTCTGGTTTAAATGGCTTTCGCTACCTTATTTTATTTAATTTGCTTGTTTTAGCCAATTTCTAGGTGCCTTTAAACGAATGTTAGTTATTTCTCACCAATATGCCGCCAGTCAGGAAAAAAAGGAGTTTTCTAATGGTATTCTGAATTATTAATCTATTGATGTATGTGCACTTGATTTAATTCATAACCTCTAGTGTGTGTGGTGACCTGCCTGCCTTCTTCACAGCGAAATACCAAATCTGAATGAAATTCTTGTAATTTCTGTTAATAGAGGGGTTTGTGGTAAACGAATAATGACTGCTATGATTTTCAGTATCTGGCCAAAGCAAAAAAAAAAGGCAACTGAATCCCTTTTACTGGCGTTATTCCCTCCTATTGTAGCGTTATTATTTTTCATTTGGGATTAGGAAGCCTTGGCGACCTAATAGGCGCAACATGGAAAATCTTTAGCCCCAACCAGGTGTTAAAATATAATATGAATGTTGCAGAGGCGCGAGGTTATTGGAAGAAGGCAGCAAATAAAGTGAAATACATAAAAGAATATAGGCCGGTGGCCTATTCTGCATACCAATGGTTTTGTCATTTATGGCTGGGAAAGATTTATTGCACCGTGGGCCATGGCTGTAAACGGGGCATTAAAACATAGAAACACTTGCTCCTTAAGGCATATTGCAAAGGCACCACTTGAAAGGAGGGAGTCAGGCAGAGTAGGAGGTGAAGGCAGCCAGAAATCCACTACTATGCATTTTCATTTAAGCCAATACTCAGTGTTGTATTTGATGAAAGCCCACTTTGGTCAATCATTCACCCCACTACGTCTTAAATTGCTGATCCGAGTTTCTTTTATTTCAGTACTGCTGGGGATAAGACCAGGGCCTTCCAAGCTTATGGCTGGATACTCTATACCTTGTAATGCCTTCCAGACTGGAGAGAGAGAGAGAGAGCACACACAGTGTTATGACCTGATTACACATAAAACACGATGGGAAATGGAGGAGAATAAATTCGATGATGATTATAATTTGAAAGGTTTATGTCCCTGGCAGGGAGATGTTTATCCTATCCACGGCGCCTTTCTCAGGTATTGTTTGTATGTGTGTGTTGAGGTGCCCCCGCTATATTATGTATGTCGGGCATTGATGTTGTATAAAGTGATGCTTGATTATCCTTTGACTTCCAGGTTCTAGAGAGATTGATGGCATCCTCCTGACTCTCGCATATATTTACACCGGCCTCTTTACCTATATATATATTGCTTTATAATTGAACACATGTTTGTAAAATACTATTATGTGTGCAATAAAAGTCTGATTACTCAAAGCTCCTGGCTCGATTGGCTATTTATGCAATGACAACATGACTGTAGCTAAGTAGTAAATACGACTGGCGAAGCAGCACCTTGGATCGCCGTAAAAGTAGTTCTACAAAAGGCTAAATGATATAAAACATGATAATGCATACTAATAAAATCAGCTGCCAAAAATTCCCTTGTAATAGAGATGGATATGAAAATATTTGTTTACTTAAGAATTGCATGCGGGTATGCGTATACATTTCTCAAATAAATAAAATATATTCAATAAAGTCTTATTCTGGAAGGTAAATCTGTTATGCAAAACCTCCATATTTCTAAACCCTTTATCTACTAAATGTAACTGG